CGACGTCGCAGACGAGCGAGCCGGGCTCCAGCTCCGCCAGGAATTGGCGCACCCGCGGCCACGGCCGGTGGCGCGACTCCGTGAACTGGCGCGCCTTCTGCCGGTACACATCGTGCACGTAGGTCTTCTCGAGCGCGAGCGAGCGCGCCTCGCGCTCCCGGCGCGCCGCCTCCTCCTCCTGCAGCGGCGCCATGGAGGCGGCCTCGGCGGCTCGGCGGGCTGCGGCATACAGGGCGACGCGCGCTGAGAACGCGTGGTGGAGAACGTGGAGAGAACGGCGGCGTGGGGTGGTGGAGAACGTAGCGAGAACGGCGGTATGGGGTGGCGCAAAGCGAACGTGTAGAAACAGGAGGACCAGCGGAAGGAGAGTGCTGTTAGTCGGTTCCAGATGTAAATTTTACGTTTACTGTGACGTGGTGCGATGCATGGACATGATTTGAAATGGTTTATGAAGGTGACTATGTGTTGGGGCTCTTACGACCCTGCTAGAGAGGAAGATGGCGTGGGGGAGATGCCTGTTCAGGCCAGGCACCTGCTCACCAGGAAGGTGACTGAGGGAGGGGAAGGGAGGGGAGGGAGGGACGTTAGGTCAGTAGAGGAGAGTGTGGGAATCTTCCGATGCGTCTCCCTCGGGTGATTGTTACGTCATCGGGGCTTTGCGACACACTTTCCGATCGGTTGTAAGCACGGGCGACAGACTTATATCATAGCACACGCGACCCAGCTGTTATCATCTCATCCCCTTGATCTGCCCATCTCGCAGCCTCTCGGAGAGCAATTGCGGCAGGCTGGCTGTCGTGAAATACGTGAAATTCGACAGCGTGAAGCCGGTGCCGCGATGAGCGCCACGTCCCACGTAACTTTCCGCGAGCCATCTGCTGACGCGAACTGCCGGGCAGACGCCGTCTCCAGATCAGCCGGATCCAAGAGCACGGATCTGACAAGAACAATCTGTTGACGGCCGCGACCTCCGCTCATGACGTCCGCTCCGGCTCGCCTGACGTCACCGGCCTTCTGCCGGACGCCGCATTGCGTCACTGGAAGGCAGGTCAAATGGCGTCCGTTCAAAGCGGGGTCGCCGCGCTCAAAACGGCGAGCTCCGGTGGCGCTTTGACGGTGCAGCTCTGGTGCAACGTAGGGTCAGCTAATCGGCGCTCCGGTGTCATGTTTCATCAGCCGATCGACGCCGAATAAGCCGAGGCCAGCGCCGGGCGACAGTTGGCGCGAAGTTCTGCAGAGGTCCGCCAAAGCCCCATCCCCGCCGCTTGGTCAGGCGACCGCACGGTTCACACAAAGGTTGCGCTAAAGGGCAGTTGGCTTCTCGGGGTCCCGTAATCCATGGATGGCCGTCAAAAACTGAAAATTTAGCCGACATAAACCACTCATAGCTTAACGTTAGTCATACAAAATGGAGCGTTCTCTACAACACCACGCTGCTTTGAAAGGTCGCTGACTTTTTGAACGTTAGCATTTCTGGGAGGATGAATGCAGGGAGGGGAGGGAGCAGAGCACGCAGCTACACCCATTTGTGGCGCTGTCTTATAAGAAAATTGATGGCAAAGACAGAACTTTGCAACCAGCTATATAAATATCATTGCTGTCTACATTTTGAAACACTTCGTATCATCATCGGAACAGCACATGAAGTGCATTTTAAACATTATACAGTTAACAGGAGGAGGGATCAGCACATTAAGTCCTCCAAGATTTTGGCTGAAGCTTTAAACTTTTGGTATGAAAGTTAAACTTCTTGAAACATCTCAAACGATATTTAACGAAATCTACAATGTCTAAGCATAGAGCCGCGTTTTGCAGTTTTACGTGCTCTGAGTGATCTGCCGCTGCTCGACCGTGTCACTTTTGAGGATGTTGATCAACAGCCAAATGTGCTTAGTTTCAGACCTTTGTGTAGTTTTAAACCTTAAATAGCTTGTCGTATGTTTCCGCTCCGGACTATTGATCTGTTTAAGCCATTTTCCTCCGATAAAGAAATTACGGTACCCAGCCTGACAAAGGGAGGGGAGTATGTTCCGCTAACAGCCAGTCGCACATTCAAACAAGCTCATTATTAGGGACTTTTTTAAAATATAGAGAGATCGCGAGCCGATATTGAAATATATAAGGTAGACCAGAAGGATATAATTACCCCGGATATAACTGACATATTGCTTAGCAAGATCATGAGACCTGGAATGATCACCGATGACCTGGAGAGCTTGATGTAATTGAAAGTCCTTCTGGTGTTTTTTTTTACAGTCTTTATAAAAACACATAAATCCTCTGCTCCTTTCGAGGCCGACGTGCGTGCATTGCTTTATATCTGATAAACTCTGCAAGTGGCTTGTGCCTCTGCTGCCACCTTTGGGCAGACATGCATGCTCTGGGGGGGGGGGGGGGAGGGGGCGGTTAGAGGTGACTAATGCCGCTCAGTTGGAACAAAAAATTGCACAACTTGAATTTTAGAATGGCATGGGTATAACAAGTTTCATGTTGAGATACTTTTCACAAGGATGATGTTGAAACAAGCGACAGACATTCGCGTTCAAAGTTTATACGCACCCTGTTCCACGTTTTCAGTCTTTAGCGCGGAATGGTTTCACTCTCTCCTTTAACTCTGCCATGAACTCGATCCGTATCTTCAAAGACACGTCTTGAAGCAGAAAGGTTGAGAAAGTTTTTAGTTTCGGCACAGCCATCGATCGGCTTCTGACTTATCTAAGTGCCCAGCATCTTAAGAAAAAAGGTCGCGAAGGACAAGGAGGAGGATATTGGCTGCGTAAATAAGACACACACTTAAACGTTGACAAGTTTGCCCTATTAGGGCGATGCATGAGTTCTTTAGGTGCTAGGATGTTGGAATTGCTTCATGTTCACTAAGAAAGCCACTGCTGAACACCATGGGGATAAAATATACCCTGCCAACTATAAGATAAATTCTATGTTTTGCTGCAAGATCTTTCCTCGCGTGATTCTTTACTTCTTTCGAGCCGATCTCTTTGCGTACAGATAAGTGTTGTGCTCAATCGTGTGAACTAAAACCCTCTACACCAAGTACGGCCATCCAGCGATTTGAGCGCTAGGTCACGTGGCTCCATGACGTCATCGCTATGTACAGGGCGAAGCCGCCATTACCTGTAATGCTGATTTGAGAGCTGCGCCATAAAGTGCACAAGAGTCGTCTGATAAGACATGAGTTAACGTCAGCGAAATAAGTGGCCGCTCAAGGGGTGCCAGACACCTATTGCGAGCGTCTTAGTTAATGATGAACGATGTCAGCGATGCGAAAACGTAGCCTTGTCTCCTGATCGCTGTACAATGCGCAAGGACGCACCTACTTCACATCCTGTCCTGATGATGATACCAAGGGTACCGAAACGGCATCAATGTGTTTACCCATATGAAAGCAACTGCTTCTTTGCCTTCAAGTTTCTACTTTTGCTTCCTATTCGAGGATCTCCTATGTACGTTGTTTATATATATATATATATATATATATATATATATATATATATATATATATCAGTACGACGTTCACTCCATATCTAAATGAAGAGGGCGTCGAGCATCATAACGCCAGCGACGTCGACATCACGACGATGACGTTCAGAGTTAGGCTACGCACAGAGGTATGCATGACCTAACTCCAAAGTGAATTTATAACGAGAGGCATGTGGTGTGTTTCAGTTCGGCAAAAAATGATAAAAATGGCTGTGAGCTCTTACTCCTTTGAAAGCGTGCAGCCTCACCCACCCCCTGTCTTGCGGCTTCTTATCCATCCGTTCGCCGATCATTATTCAAACTGGCAGAAACTTCCGAACTCAACATGAGCTCGGGCCCCTGCACCTCTACGGAGAGCGACACAGCTGGGGTAACGGGATGCATCCGTCGCATCCATCATTCACAATCACCTATAATGTCACGGTTGAAGAAATACAAAATAGGATTTTTTACCATTTTCAGGTTCACTGTTCGGAACTTTACCGTCACCCCATCAGCTATTCTTCTCAAATGTAAATGCATATTTACATTTGAGAAAATCTAAATGTAGCTGAATATTTCGGCTATGTAAGCCTACCTACCGATTTGAAATAGCCCCCATAAGAACGACGGAGAGCCCGTTACGAAAAGGGTCTGCTGAGTATATTTACATTATTTGATTGTTAACGGAATGCACTTTCCACCTGAGATCTTGGTGAGTACACCACTGCCGCGTGCAATTTCCCTGACGTCAGACGCACACGAGGATTTGGCACCTCGATTACATGCATTGGATAAGCGCGGTGTTTGATACCACGAGCGCCGTCGCGGCTCGGTTGCTCTCAACGAGCCGTAGCCGGTGGAGAGGGTGGAGCTCATCGAAATCTCTCCGACCACGCATATGGCACACCGCGTAGGAAGTATACCCTGGTATGAGACGTTTGGATGGTGTTCTGTTAAGTTCGCGGCGCACGTCCATTGGGAGATGATTATGCCATTTTCGCTATGGAAGACGACTATGATCATAGCATTATCTCGTGGGATGATTGAACGGTCATAATCAAATCCCGGCGCAGCACCCTCTGAATGTGATTCAATGCAAGACAGTCTTATGCAGTGCGTTCTCAGATGCGTCCTAAAGCCACTCCTGGAAACGCGAGATCAGGAACACGGACAGGGATGCATAGTATTTTCTGGAAAACTGCTTACACTCAAACACATTCCTCTCATTGCATATTTCTCCAGCAGGTTAGGTGCGGCACTAGACTAAAGCTTAATCACAAAGTAAAACAGCGATACGCGCAAAATCCAACTAAAGTGTTGCGACAGGTGACTCGCATGCTAGGGCTCTCCATGCACAGCAGTCATGAGAAAAGTAAATGTTGACTCATTTTAAAAGCTACCAAGGAAGTGAATCAAAGATGACCTGAAAGTTACTTCACCATAGGAAAACTGACACCCACTATGTGAAGGCTCGATGCTGTTTTCACTTCCCAGGAGCTCTAAAATGGTTTTGTGTCCTTACCGCGCTCCGCAAACAGTGGATGCGAGCCAGGGTGCAACTCGGCCATAATCGTTGCCGTTCGGCCCACGGGTGGATCAGCATAACGTCGAGCCGTGCCCACGCATGCAAGCTCATCTCACAGTGACACAACGGGCTGGGAACATCCACCAGCC